CTCCTGACGCTGATCCAGGGACGGACTGAGAGCAGGGCGTTATGTGGGGGTGACCCCAGGTGGTGCAAGCAAGGCAGCCGGACAGAGACGTCGGGAAGGGTTGCAGCCAGGTCAGTGGTCCCAACGAGCAGACTGTCACTGTGGGGCCCTGGGCTCAGTCCCATGTGGGCCCTCCTGGAGCGGGCGGAGCACCCTTGGGAGCTGCCCCACCTGAAGGCTGAGTGGCTGTGTGGTGCTTGTCCACCACGGCGTGTGGGGCTGCCTGGGGTGCTGACCCCACACAAGAGGCCCCCTCCACGTGGTGGACACCTCTTGCCGTCAGAGGGAGCCCTGGGCAGAGTTCCAGGGGTTTGATGAAGGCCTCTGGCCAGCAGTGGCACGGGGACAGGCAGGGGACCATGCACCTATCTCAGCATTGTAGACCCCTCCCAAGGCATCCCCCTGCCCTGGACCACCCTCACCAAGAGTCTTCCTGACACTCTCCGAAGACTGCCAACCTTGGCTCATGATGCCCCCTTTCTTGGAAAGCCCCTTCCCTACCTGGTAAGCGATCAGCCCTGTGAGGTGTGGCTGCAACCGGACTTCCGCCGCAAAACTCGGTGCAATCCTTGAGTTGATTCCTCAGCCCTGCTCGGTGAGCCCACAGCGCACACCTCACCCAGACCTCTCTCCTTGCCTTGCCTCTCGGGCTGCTCATCGTGTTCCTGTCCTGCCCAGGGCCACGAGCATGTGCACTGCTCAAGGTCACAGACGAGCTGCTCACCGCATCAGGCTCTTGGTGCCTGCATGTGACATCCGCATAACTGGGGGCGCTCACCTACCTCCTATGGCTAATGGGCCGCATGCACGCACACGCAGATGACACTTTAAATGAAAATTTATACACACATGTTCCTATCAGATATTTTTTAAATCCTATTTTAAATTCACAGAGAGAAGTTTACTTTTCAGAGAAAAGTGGTAAGAAACATTTATATATTCAAAAATATAATTAACCCCCTCCCCCACTTACCTTTTTTGCACATTTAGATTTCTGAATTCCAAGCTATTCTGAAGCAGATACGTCTGCCTATCACCTCAGGAGGGCTGGTGAGTGGCACATGGATACAATGTTTCTCAGTAAGATGTGATTATGCTATCACACAGAAAAACAAGAAAAGCCCAGGCCTGAGGGGCCCGTCTTCCTTTTGTGCCATGAGAAAGTCTTTAATACGGTGGTGTGACATAAATGGGGGTGCAGCACCCCCTGCCCTCCGCCCCAGTGTATCAGAAAGACTTGGCCATGCAGAATTTGAAAAAGCATTTCAGCATTCCAGTTGCTTGTAATTATTTCAGATGTGGTGCTTCACTCGTTCAGGTGTTTCAGCTCCTATCAACAGAGCGTCGGGTCGCTGTGCATGTCGCCAGTGAAGAAGCCGAGGTTTACGCGGTGGTACTTGACCGTGGTTCCGCTAACAGCCCTTCACACGTCTTTTCAACAAGAATGCTGGAGGAAGGGACTGGAGACAAGGAAACCAGCATGAAATGATTTCCAGGAGAGCGTTTTCTGTGAAGTTTCCTCTTGCTGAGGCTGTGGATGGCCAACTAGCCACGGGCCAGGCTGGTTCCCCGTTTCCTCGCTGGCCCCTTTGACCTTATCTTGGGGTTGACGGGGCGTATGGCTGCAGGCATATTCTGATCTGCCAGGCTTGGGGGTGTGTGTGGGTTGATTAAAGTAAACCAAAAAGAGGGGCGCCTGGGGGGCTCAGTCGGTTAAGCGTCTGCCTTCAGCTCCGGTCATGATCCCAGGGTCTTGGGATCGAGCCTCACATCAGGCTCTCTGCTCAGTGGGGAGCCTGCTTCTCCCTTTGCTCTTCCCCCCTCCTCTCTCTCTCTCTCTCAAATAAATAAATAAAATCTTTAAAAAAAACCCGCAAAAGATGCACACAGTCTCATCCCCCCACACACACCTACACACACTTAGACACACACACACGAGCGCACACACACATTCAAATCTTCAAACACAGAACAACCTGTAATCAAGGAAACCTTTTAAAAACCTTTTAAATGACAGTTATTCCTCAAACATGTATTTTACATTATGTTGTGCTGTGATGTACTCGGATGGTGAGTTCATCTTCAGACGATCTCAAGCTTCTAAGTGACCTAAGGTAGGATGGTCGGGTGGTTTCCAACCCGGGTTCTCTGAAGATGCTTCAAGGAGAAGGGCTGTGGCAGGTGGTTTCCCTCAGCTTACGCTCTGGCTGGAGCAGACCCCTGGTCACCTGCTTCCATGTTGGGGTTCAAAGTGCTATTTCCCTGATCTGTCCAACTCCTCTTATTTTTCAACATAATAAAAGCAAGACCAAAGGTGCTGCAGATCTCCTCCAGAGGGTGGGCAGCCGGGGTGTGCTGGTCTGTGCGGACCACTGCAGCAGAGCACTGTGTGTGGACATTTACCGTCTCATGGTGTGGAGGCCACAGGTCAGATCAAGGTGTCGGCAGGGCTGGCTTCTTCTGAAGCCGCGAGGGACAACCTGCTCCGTGCTCCCTCCCAGCTGCTGGTAGTTTCTGGCGATCCCTGGTGTATTTTGGCTTGTAGAAGCATCACCCCACCGCTGCCTCCACGTCCACCTCACATTCTCCCTGTGTCCAAACTTCCATTTTATGAGGACACCACTCATAATGGATTAGGAGCAGGATTTACAAGGACACCACATCGTAACAGATGACCGCATCCTAATTTGATCATCTGCTAGAACTTTTTCAGATAAGGTCAGCCTCATAGGTCCTGGGGCCTTAGGACTTCAACATCTCCACAGGGGCCATGAGAGCAGGTAGAAAACAGGCCTCCCGCCTCTCTGTAGATCTGCGTCCATTCCTGGAGCTCTGTGCTGGAATGCTTTCTAGAGATTACGGTTTTTCTTACTTCAAAACAAGGACTTAACAACGATTGCAATTTCATCTTTGAGAGTATGACCTTTCTCTAGATTCTCTACGATTAAAATGCCAAGATACCTAGGGTCCTGCAGGTTGATGGAAAGGTGGGTAAGCAGTGGGCACCACTATGGTCCAAAGAGGCAGCAAAATGAGTGTTTGCTCCCTTCTGCCAGCCTGGAGGAAGCTTCTGGGTGAGGTGTGGGGAAAGGGTTGGGATAATGGTTGGCAGAAAATGCTCTGGAATTCATCCAGGGCTGACCCCAGCAGGTGCTGCCTGGAGGGAAGGGGGAGGTCTCTGAGTTAGCTTCCATGTGCGTCACAGGGACCGGATGGGTGGGAATGGCCTGCGCCCGTCCACACGGAAGATAATCACGGGCGGACACACATCTGCTGTCACTGGGTCAGTAACAAGAAGGTCCATCCTCACTTCTTTCATGCTCTCTCACAGAGAAGCTGAGACTCAGGTGGGCCTGAAAATCGCCCGACCTTTCCATCCAATAAATAGTATGGAAACGTGGCACATTTGTGTCGTATCTGGCCCTGGTTGAACTTGAGTGTGAATGAAGATCTTGTGACCTGACTCATTCACGTCATCTCCTCTTTGCTCTGCCTTTTGAAATGGCAGCTATTTTATCAGGTTTTTCCTCACATCAAACGATTAGAAAAGGTAAAATATTGTGCCAAGGGAGCTGGGTTAGAAACAGACCCTGCGGTCATCACTGTGAGGTTTACGGCACTTGTGACGGAAGATGACATGTTCGGGGGCGGGGGGGCGGGATGACATCCAGGAGAAGAAGAGCAGAGACCGGGGGGTCAAGCTGTTCTGGGTCTCGTGGGGGTGGCGAGCGGCCCCTCCGCAGCGAGGGCTGTGCTGGGCTGGCGGACAGGAAACACGGGGCTGTGGGGCACCAGCTCTTTCCCCTGGGCTCCGGCCAGAGCTCTCCGGTCACGCACCTTAGGGTGCAGCCACGACTCTCAGCAGTCTGCAGCTCGGCCTGTGTTTCACGCAGCGAGTGCGAACACACGCAATGGCGCAGGTGCTGTCCGGGTACAGCGGGGGCGAGCCGTCATTCTCACCCCACAGGGCACAGTGGTGTGTTGGCACGACCAATAAAAACGGAAGGAGCCAATCCCGCGAATGCGCTTCTATCAGATTAGCAAACGGCCGCTCACGCAGGGAGGGTGGCAGGCAGAACACGGGAAGAGACTCCTTGTCCGTCTGGGAGACAGGGGGCTGCCACGGCGAAGAGGGGCGGACTCCCGCAGCCCGTGTCTGCGCGCGTACGGCGTGCGACAAACCCCCCAGGCACTGCGGGGCTCGCAGGACCTGTAACAAAAATCATGACGTGAGGCCATTCTGGGACTGATTTCCTGAAGCGACCTCTGTGCATTTCTGGGATGGCTCGGTGCAGACCGGGGCTGCCCCTGCTGGGGGCTGTGGCTGGGGCCGGTGCGAGGAGACTCCTTCCAGCATGCTCTCCGCTGCCCCTCAACTGTGCATCCTGTGCCATCATCACTTTCTGAGAAGAAACAGGTAAGTGGAGACCCAGGCACAGGTCTCTGACATCTCTGATGAAGCAAGGTGTGATCACAATCCAGTTTGTAGTAATTGTGGGATTTCACCTGCTAGGCAATTGTCCTGGGCCTGAGCGCATCACCCAGGGACAGGCTGGCATGGGCGTCTCCATCCACACCCGATGTGTCCTTCCTAGGACACACCGATGTCGCCATGTGGTTAAATGTCCCTTTCAGGGACACAGGCAGGCCGCCAGCTGGACTGTCCACCCAGCGGCTGCTAGATGATAGGGCACAACCAGCCACGTTTCTATTGAATGTAAATGGTATTCTGTGTAAGGCCTAAAATTAAGACTCAATGTCATGTGCTACCTTGGTATCTGGTGTCCCTGGGAGGGTCTCAGAAGGCCTCACGGCAGGTCCCCTCCCAACTCTGCATCCGCGGATAAGGTCCCCCAGCCAAACAGCCTTCCTTATCACGGGGACCAGGCGCATACCTGCTCAGTCCTGAGCAGTGGGCTTCCGTTCCCTGCCAGCCCGTGGAATCATTCCAACAAGGCAGCCGCGCGCTCCCAGGGGAACCAGGGCCACCCCCCGCACGGTGCCTGCCTGTTCACCCTGTCGGACGGAGGGGCCCCGAGCGGCCATGTGCGGCGCGTGTGGTCCCCTCCCTGGGCTGAGTGTGTGTGACTCCAGCTTGCTGTCCAGCTCCTCTGTCCCGCCTCCGGTCGGGGGTCCAGCCACCCTGGCGACCTTCGGGCAGGAATCCTCATCATCAACGGAGGGCAGAAGAGGTGGGCAGGCACGGCTCGGGGCAGCCCTGGCGTGGTAGCAGGAGCAAAGAATAACCAGATCGCACCACGGGACACGTTTATAACAAAATCTGGTAATGTTCTGGTGAAGGACTGGGTATTTATTACTCCCTTTGTGAGGTGCTCTCCTCCCGGCTCTGGGTCCCTGCTCCCTCCTGGGAGAGAAAAAGCTAAAACTAGCACATCAAACCCAAACCTTCTCCTCCCAGATTTAACATTTTAAAAATGGGACGTACCTAAAAACCCATCAGGAAGGGCTTATGGAGGAACTGAGGGCAACGGCCCCGGGTCCGGCCCGCTCCCGCGCTCAGGTAAAAGGAGTGGGCGCACCTGCATGCGGGCACAGAAGAAAGCCTGTGTGCTTAGAGGAAAGCTGAACGCGGAGCAATCCCATTTCTCATTACACAGTGGCATGAGGCGGGAAAGGAGGACGACACGGTCTGTGATCAGCGGGGCCACAACTGTGCAGTGACCTTTACAAATTTTTGTTAAAACATCAGAAACTCTCTTGCTGTTAGTTATAAATGTAACAGTAATGTTTATTTAGGTTGCTGTAATCTAACGTGATAGAAACACTCAGAATATGAAGTGCTTTATTTCTTCCTAACAGATGGGCCTGTAGGGGTTGGAACAGCGTGACTTGGGACGCAGAATGGGGTGCTGCCTGCCGGCCGGCAGCCCACCACCCACATCTACACCACTCGCGGCGCATCTGTGATTACCACTGTCTGTTCTAGGCACAGCCCCAGGCCTCCTGTACTGCCATTTACTTAATACTTTCTTTAAAGTGACTTCAAAATGGCTCACTTCTTGTACTTAGCTAAGCAACAATACTGCTGAAATCTTGGGTTTGATGTGCTCGTTTTAGCTTTTTCTCTCCCAGTATAGGTTAGAATAAATATATAACCATTAAAATAAAAATGCCTCTTTCAGTATCAGCTCAGATCCCTGCAGCGGTGGGAGAAGCATGCAGAACCAGCGAGAACGGGTCTGTAGGAGACGCGGGGTCTGGTGAGTGGGCCATGGCCTGGCTGAGGATGTGGGGAGTGGGGCATGGGGGGGGGGTCCCAGCATGGACCCTGGTGCTGAGACCACATTGGGGTAGGAGATGCTACTGCATAGCAATGCTCAGAAATTGGGGCATTTGGGTTAGAATTTAGATTTTTTTCCTGATTAGTACAGTTAACCCAGATATAATTTTTGTTTTTGAGAAATGCTATTAGAAGTCTTTGTAAAATGTGTGGGAATGTTTTCCTGCCTTGGTGAATATAGAAAAGGAACACAAACTGGTGTTTCTTTGCTGATTCTGGATTTTGCAGATTTATGGGTCGTTGTCCAGAATATTAATCCTCATGATAAAATGGTAAAAGCGTGTATGGATGCATACAGGTTTTCCTTGCCTCGGGGCCGGCCAGGAGCCAGTGATGGTGGACGCAGGCACCACCACCAGACAGAGCAGAAGGATCGAGGCCTGGTTCACCCAGGTGAACCCTGTGCACACCCAGCGTAGGGACCCAGAGGCGCAATGGACGGCACTAGGAAAGCAAGAATGTAGTTGTCACTCTCCTCCCCGACTTCCCCCGAAAGTGAAGCCATGCCCCAGAGGCCGCAGGGCGGGGCACACGCGGCCTTGCACATCTGTGTGGTCAGGGCCTAAAAGAAATCCCGTAGTCATAGACTGTCCGTTTTCATGAGCGTGGAGATTACGGCCTGCAGAGCCCGCACACGGAATTTTCTGGACCGGTATCATGCAACAGCATCGTTTTCGGCCGGGAGGCAGCAGAAAGGTGACCGGGCACAATGGGCCCCTGGCCATGTTTCTGCCCTGCAGACACGAGGTGCCTCGCTCAGCAACACGGCACCAGGGCAGCGAGGGACGGGACGTTTGCACACGGACACGTGCCCAGGGTGACCTGGCGAGGCTGTACCCGATTCCAGCGCTCACACTCACCCACGCTTCCAGTCCCAGGACTTCGTGCCACAAGCGCTCTCGGAGCGTGTGCCCGCGTGAGGCAAGTTCGCTGGAGGGCTGTTGGCACAGCTGGAAGTGACTTCTGCAAAAGGCAGTCAGAAGGAGCTCAAATGTCCCGTGGTATTTTTTGGTTAAAAAAATAAACTACAAAACCATCTGCACAAGCAAATACGGTGCGTCTATTGAAAAGCGAAAGAATGAAGTGCATATCTGTGTGACTTAGAAGGAGAGCTGCAGTTTATCATTAAGCAAAAATCAAGTTGTGAAACTGTGGGAAGAGCGACAGTCCGTGTTTGTCTAAAAATGATAAGGTAGGACCGTAATAAATAGAGTAGGAGGCCAAAGGCGCATGCCTCGGGCTGTGCACAGCGGGGGCCCTCGCGTACCAGGCAGCAGGGAGCGTTCGCCTGCGCAGGAAAGAAGGCCTCCCGCGCTTTTAACTCCAGGACTTATCTGACGGATCTTACAATCCACGTTTTCTCTATTTGTCACAAATGTAATGTGTTGGCTTCGGAGAGAGAAGTCAGTGTGCGTGTGGCGGACGTGTGCCCAAAGGGGAGGGGAACACGCCTGCGCTCCCGGCTGTGTCGGCCGCCGAGGACCGCAGCGGGCACTGGAAGTGAACGCCGGCGGAGAAGTCGGGAGCGTGCCGGCTGAGGAGTTTAACGCACCTGACTTACTTAGTGTGGCCTTTCTTTATTCTTCTCAATGTATCTTAATGACTGAGACAATTAATGAAGAACTTTTCCTCCCCCTCTGTCCGCCCCTCCCTCGATTACTCTCCCCTTCTTCCCTCTGTCCTTCCTCCCCTCTCCCCTCCTTCTCAATTTCTTTCTTCTTCGGGTCTTTGTAAGACTGAGCCTTCCCTGAAGGAAAGAATGGAACTCTGTGCGGAAGGGTCGACGCCCCGTGACCCAGGCAGGGATCCGTCGTGGCCCACGGGGCGGGGGCGGTGGGGACCGTGCATTTGAGATTAACCCAAATGAGCTCCGACGGCCCGGAGAGGGGGTGCCAGGCTCACGGCGGCCCGAACAAAGACGCTGTCCCACGGGGAGCCCCCCCGGCTTTGGGGGGACATGCTGGCCTGGGCCCCCCAGTTCATGCCGGGCCGGGATGGCCACAAGCCCTTCCCGAGAAGGCTCCCCCTCTGTTTCGAGGAACGGCGACAGTCACGGCAGCCGGCAGGGTGCTCTGCCACACCTCCACCAGCAAGTCCCCTCCGGGGAGAGCTGCCCTGGCCACAGGCGGGAACGACCCTGCTCCGTGCCCAGACCCAGGGCCACAGGGGCGAAGCTGTGGAGCCGGCGTCTTCCCCTCCCCTGCGCCTGGTGCTGTTTCTAGGCGGAGAGGCCGGACGGAGTCTGAAGAAGCGATGAGAGCAGGTGCTGTGTCATCCAGAAGCATTTTCACTACTTTGTTTACACGGAGATTTAGTTCAGCAGAAATCAGTAAGGAAGACCGTGAAAACACAACAATCCATTCTGGAAAATCCAAAGCAGCAGTATATGGAAGGTAGGTTCCAAAAAACACAAGCACCCCACACGTGTTCCTCGCATGCTAGAAACCAGAGCAGAAATAGCATTTCCTCCAAAACATGCTTCTCGGGACACCAGGTGAGGGTTCCAGAAGAATTAGACTGGAACGTGAGCTTGTCGCCCTGGGTTGGGATTTGGAGAGCACAGCCTTGGAAGATTATACAACAATCAAACGTAACAAATTCTATAACCGTCAATTTTAAATTGTGCATTCCAAATTGATATATTCTACACAAATAAAAGGACCTGATTTTGGGCTTTGAGCGCAGCCGCCTGCCTGTGTGCCGTGCAGTGCCGTCTGACTTCCTAAAAAGCGCGGAGCCTTTCTCCTGGGTGCACCTGCCTACCTTGGAAAATGCCAGGGGCTCTTGTCAGACAGCTCTGTGCGCTGCCGGGGCTTCGGTCACTGGCAGCACTGGGCGGGAGCAGGTGGGGCGTGGGGGGTGCGGAAGCCAAATGGCCCTGGGCCTCAGCACCTCACCAAGGGAAGGGTCCCCTCGCTGGGCCGCCTCCACATTGTGCGACAGGCAGAGCCCCGGAATGGACGGGAGGGCCCGGACCCCGGGCAGGACTCAGAATTCCTCCTACTTACGCAAATGCTCCCTGGGATGAAGCCCCCCTTGAAGTCGGCATGCAGGGGGTGAACACATTACCCACAGGTAGGTAATCGGACAATATTGTGGACGCGCCTGTCACATCTCGGTCTATATGACTTTGGGAAAGTTGCTGGAGTTCTCTGACCCTCAACTTCCCCATCTAGAAAATGGGGCGTTCCTGGTACTTCCCTCCCGGGGCCGTGAGGGTGCGAGTCAGGGGCTCGGGACAGGCTGGCAGCCAGGACCACCGTCCCCATGGACGCTCCGTTCACACAGATGGCACATGTTAGACATTCCGCCGCAGCGGCGGGCTCCCCAGACTAAGCTCATTACCGGAGCAGACACAAGGGAGCTTTCTCTGAGGGCCGCGGGGCTGCTCACCGGCAACAGCAGCAAACAGCAAACCCACTGTGGCTTTAGTTTCTGTTCTCATAAACAGAAGTGTAGAAGGATCCAGTCACATACTTTTAAGATAATTGATAAGAAGAAAAGCTACAGCCACTGAACACGAGAAGTAACGATCGCGTCGCTTCAGTTCAAGGTACGAGTTAACCTGGAAAGTTCAGGGGCGCAGTGGGGGCTGTGAAGAAGGGGTGAGCAGGGGCAGCAAAGCATGCAGGGAGGGGGGCCGGGGGGGCCGCACGGTGCAGGGAGGGGGCAGGGACACACACAGCGCAGGGGGCCCTCCAGGGACCAGGGGAGGGGGGGTGGCTCGGCCCCCCCTTTCCGAGGAGTCGTGGGCTTCACGCTGGCTTTCCCCTCGTCCCGGCACCCCTGGAAACCAGCTAGTGCCCAGACAGTTCACGGGGCTCTCCATGCTGGTCTGACCTCAGGGCTGTCACCCTCCCCCGGGACAAGGGCGCAGCTGCCTCAGGGACTTACTGTCCCTGGTCCTTTCCACTTGCCCTTCCTCCCACTGGGCTCCCCCCGCCCCCGCGGCCTACAGGATCACAGGGGTAGCCCCCTGTGCTTATGCTCTGCCACTCCTGTGCATACCGTCTCTCCCCTTAGGGCAGACATGTTGGTGTGTGTGTGAAGCCAGGATGCTGGCAGTGGCTAAGATGGGCCTCAGGGCCAGGGGCAGGCGAGGCCTCCAGTTGGAGCTGGCCCCAAGCTCAGCCCAAACCCTTCTTCATCTGTCTTTGTGAAAATCTACTTACTATATATTTTATTTTATTAAAGATTTTTACTTATTTATTGGCGAGAGAGCGATCACATGCCTGTGTGGTGGGGGGAGGGGCAGAGGGAGAGAGAATCTCAAGCTGACTCTCCACTGAGCCTGGAGCCCGACACGAGGCTCGATCCTACAACCCTGAGATCACGACCTGAGCCAAACCAACCAAAACCGAGAGTCAGAGGCCTCATGGACTGAGCCACGCAGGCGCCCCTTCACTAAATATTTTAAACCAGTGTCTCAAAAAATATTGAAGTGCTGAATGAAGGAAGGAAGGGACTGCTACCTACGGATACGGTAAACATGAAGCCCTGGGTAAGTGCTGGCCAGTTCGCACAATTTAGTGACCCAGGGAGATTTAAGCAACTGCTGTTCTGATGGAAAATGGGAAGTCTCGGTCCCCCGTCCCTCTCCATGGTGGGGAATGGTTGTTGGAGCTGATGCAGTGGGTAGAGCCACGGGGGGGGGGCGGGGTGTGCATGCAGCCCCGTGTCTGCACCCCGCACTTGCCTGCAGCTCGGCACCCCTGCGTGAGTCTGCATGGGAAGGTAGGCACCTAGCGAACTAACGGTTATCTGGTGATGCTAGTCCCATCGGAAATCGCTTGCTTCCAAAATAACGTGTTTGCTTTACTCTGCACCTCTTCCCAACAGCATGGAACATATAAAATAGTACTAATGACTCCAAAGTAGGGGTTACCTCTGCCTCCTGCCTCCCCTTCTACTTCCAGAAGTACTGCTTATTTCTATGGTTAACACTTTTTGCTCATTCTGAACCCTGACGGAATGTGTTTGAGCCGAAGAGAACCTTGCCTGTGTGAGCGAGGGAACAGAGCAATTCCTTCCGTTTGTGGAACAAAATGTAAGGAGAGCGGGTAACTACCGCTTTCTGACCGTACTGGCAATGCCGTCACATGAGAAGACTTGTGTTCTGGAATACCATCCCGCAAGTGTAAATCTTCGCCCTGGAGGGAAGTTTCCGGGCTGGAATTGGTCATGAACGTCTTCAACAGGTGCGTTGCTTGAGGAAAGGTCTTATTTGACTTTACAAATTTTTCCTGTGGAATAGGCCCCGAATGGAGATTCAGTGGCTTGGGTCAATGGAGCAAATCCTCCAGTCCAGGGACCTCTGGCACCTGTTTCAGAAACCAGTCTCCAGGGAGGAACAGGGCTCTGCAAAGATGGTCTCTTCCTTCCCTTCCAGGGGAACGACTGGTCTCTCTAAATAAGGAGCCACTGACTCGGAGGGGGGTGCAAGTAGGAAGGGGGCACGCTGACCCCAGGGTCGACAGGTGGCGGGTTCAGACCTAGGTCCTAGTGCTGTTCTCAAAGCCAGTGGGGCTCTGTCGGGGAGCCCCTAAAATGTCCACATAATATTATTGAGGGGCAAGCCCCGCAAGCCAGCAGCAGCAGCTTCACTGGGGGCACGCTAGAAATGCACATCCCCAGGCCCCAGCCCAGCCACACTGAGTCAGAACTGCCGGGGGTACAGCCCGCAATCTGTGCTTTCACAGGTCACTCTCCTGCACGCTCAGCTCTGCGCAGTCCCATCGTACCCTCACCTGTCCCCTCACAGACAGCAAGGCTTTCGTTTGGGTTCATTAAATAATCATGCCCTGCGGAGGGCTCCACCAGCACCTGGGGGGCCCCCAGAGAGCCTCACGTAGAAGCGGCACCCAGGGGAAACCCTCTGGCTGCTGGATGGTCTGCCTGTCTTGTCTTAGAGCACATGCGGGTACTGCCTTCCCTGTAGTTCACATGCAAGACACAGAGAGTTTTGGGTTTTCCTGATCTTTCCACGTTACCCACAGGGGAGGGGACTGAAACAAATATTGAGCATCAAGATGTCAAGGGAAGCCAA